TGTCAGTACCAGATCCAGACCGGTCCTCGCCGCGGCTTCGTTTGCGGTAAGATCGGTCACTCCACTCCCCGCTGTTTTCGTCGCCTGGACGACCTCTTTCGTCAGCGCTTCGGCCCGTCGCCAGACCTCCCGGACTGGCACAGTTTGCTTAGTCGACAGATTCAGATCTTTGATATGGACATGGATGCCATTGTTTCTGCTCTGCATGTGATGTATGCTGATGACTCTAGTGTGCTTCCGGCTTATTACTCACTGTTGCCTAGTGTAGGTGTGCCCAGCTTAGCCTCCCCTGCTGCGTCAGGCGTAGGATCCCCTGCTTTGTGTAGTCTTGGTGCTTCTGCCGTAGTTCCGTCGCCAGCCCCCTCGGCTTCACTTTCCTTCACCTTGGACTCTGGCGCCTCTCGGTGTTTCTTCCGCGACTCCACCACCCTGACGCCGCTTCCTGTTCCTGCTGCCGTTTCTCTTGCTGACCCCTCCGGCGGTCCGGTAGTCGCCCGCAGTTCCACCACCCTTCCCTGTCCGGCGGTTCCGTCGGGCTCTCTTACAGGTCTGCATATCCCCTCGTTCTCCAGGAACCTAGTTGGTGTCGGCTGCCTCCAGGACCTTGGCGTCACCACTACGTTCCCTGGTCACGAGCGGTATGCTGTCTGTACTGAGGCCGCCACTGGTGCCCCCCTGTCCACGTTCCCCCGGGACCCGGTATCCGGCCTGTTCACTCTGGACACCGTGCCCCCCTCGGCTGGAGCGCCCCCTCAGGTGACTGTGTCTACCCAGGTTGCTGCTGCCTGCTCCTGTCGCTCCCTCACTCACCCGACCCTCCTGTGGCACCACCGCCTAGGTCACCCTGCGCTCCTGCGTCTGCGTCACATGTCCCAGCACGGTCTTGTCCTTGGTCTCCCAGGTTCACTCCCCGCGTTTCCCTCCTCCCCAGCTCCACCTTGCACGCCTTGTGTCGAGGGTCGGCTTCGCCGTGCCCCTCACTCCTCCTCGTTCCCCCCTACCGCCGCGCCGCTGCAGACCCTGCACCTGGACGTCTGGGGCCCCGCCCCCGTCCCTGGGCCGCGTCGCGAGCGCTACTTCCTTGTGCTTGTCGACGATTTCACTCGTTACACCACAGTCTTTCCCCTGGAGCGCAAGGCCGACGTGCCTGGCGCCCTCATCCCCTGGCTTGTCTCTGCGCGTGTCCACCGCGGTCTCCCTGTCTTGCGTCTTCACTCAGACCGTGGTGGCGAGTTTGCCTCCGGTGTCCTTGGTCGCTTTTGTCGTGCGGAGGGCATCACCCAGACGTTCACCCTACCGGACTCCCCACAGCAGAATGGGGTCGCTGAGCGACGCATCGGTTTGGTCATGGAGGTCGCTCGCACCTCCATGGTCCATGCCGGTGCACCCCATTTTCTGTGGCCGTTCGCTGTGCGCTACGCTTCTCACCAGCTTAACCTGTGGCCGCACCCTCAGCAGCCGCAGGTTTCGCCGACCCGTCTGTGGACTGGGTCTCCTGGTGACGCGTCTGCGTTCCACGTCTGGGGCTGCCTTGCTCACGTCCGTGCCTCCGGCACGGACAAGCTCACTGCCCGCACTCTTCCCTGCGTCTTCCTCGGTTTTCCCCTTGACGCGTCCGACTGGCACTTTTACCACCCGCCGTCTCACCGCTTCTTTCACTCTCGTGACGTCACCTTTGACGAGTCCGTCTCCTACTACCGCCGCTTCCCCCACCGTGGTCCCCCGGTTACCCCCCCCCTGTTCCTGGTCACCCCTTCCCCGGTAGTCCCTGCCCCTCCTCCTCCTCCTCCCCGTCCCGCCCCCTCTGGTGTCTCCCACGTCACCCCCCTTCCGTCCGTGGACCCGGTTGAGGAGTCTTCTGACTCTGGTGGCCCTCCGGTGCAGTCCTCGCCGGCCGCCCCTCCCCAGGTGTCCCCACCCCAGTCCCCTCCTCCGCCGCCCCTGCCGCCGCTGCAGCCGTCGCCGTCGCCGCTGCCGCCGCCGCCGCCGCCGTCGCCGCCCCCGTTCGCTGACTCTGGGGGTGCTCGTCCCGGTCGCCCTGCGGGTGGTCCCTCTGGGGGTGCGGGTGTGGAGAGTGCCGGTGGTAGCCGAGGAGCAGCTTGCGGTCCAGGTGTCGCCGTTGTGCCGCCGCAGCAGCAGTTCCCACCGGTGTCCGCCCTTCGCCTGCTCGGCCTTCCGTCCCCCGACCGTGCGTCGGTTCCTCCCCGCCCGTCTCCTCCTCTTCCTGTCTACGGCCCTGTTTTCCCTCCGCCGGACTCGTCCCCGGCCCGTCTCCCCCCTCGTTCCCCTCCTGTGTCCCCTCCCCTGTCTCCTGACCCGACTCCTCCGTCCCACGTCTGGTCTCACCGTCCCTCCCGTGCTCGTCGTGCCTCGCCTGTCTTGCGCTCCCACCCTATGTTGCTTCGTTCACACGCGTCTCGTCCTCCCCTTCTGCCGTCGCCTCCTCCGTCCTCCCTTGTTGTTGCGCCCCCCCCGCTGTCCGACTACCTTCGTGCCGCTCGTCCTCTTGTTCCTCGGGTCCTTGCCTCCCTCGTTACCGACCCGTCTGTTCCGGTCTCGTGCCTTGACGCTCTTGTCGCTGCTGTCGCTGACTTCACCTCTACCCGCCGCCTTGACTACGCCTCCGCTCTGGTCTCTGACCCTGCCTGTCCTCCGTCTGTCGGGGGTGCTCCTGCCCTTGGCAGTGACGTCCTGGAGGACCGCCAGTTCGAGCTTGCTTTCCTCTCCGAGGCTGCTCCCCATCTCTGTTCCATGCTACTAGTCCCTGAGGGTGACCCAGACGCTTTCGACATCCCGACCCCTCGCACTTACGCTGAGGCGACTTCGGGACCCTGGGCCTCGCAGTGGATAGCTGCCATGGAGCAGGAGATGGCATCTTGGAGATCCACCGGCACCTTCGTCGACGCAGTTCCCCCGCCTGGGGTGAACGTAGTCGATGGCCGCTGGCTCTTCAAAGTGAAGCGCCCTCCTGGAGAGCCGCCTGTCTTCAAGGCGCGCTATGTGGCTAGAGGCTTCAGTCAGCGCGAGGGGGTGGACTTCTTCCAGACTTTCGCTCCGACCCCGAAGATGACTACTCTTCGGGTTCTGTTACACCTAGCTGCCCAGCGTGACTACGAGCTTCACTCACTTGACTTCTCCACTGCCTTCCTTCAGGGCAGTCTACACGAGCAGGTCTACCTGCGCCGTCCTCCGGGCTTTACTGGCACCTTCCCTCCTGGGACCCAGTGGCTCCTGCGGCGCCCCGTCTACGGCCTGCGCCAGGCTCCCCGTGAGTGGCACGACACTCTGCGTGCTACGCTTGCTGACCTGCAGTTCTTTCCGTCTTCTCTCGACCCTTCACTCTTCGTTCGTGCTGGCCAGACTCCGTTCTACATCCTCGTTTACGTCGACGACCTGGTCTTTGCCACAGCAGACAGGGACGCGCTGGCCTTCGTGAAGGCAGAGCTGCTGAAGAGACACACCTGCACTGACCTTGGAGAACTGCGCCGTTACCTTGGCTTGCAGATCTCCAGGGACAGAGCTGCGCGCACCATCACCCTGACTCAGTCACACTTGGTGCGCCAGGTCCTTCAGAGGTTCAGCCTTCAGTTCTCCTCTGCACAGCCCACCCCTCTGCCTGTAGACCACAGGCTCTCCGCTCCAGTGCGTGAGGAGTTGGTAGAGCCCAGCGGCCCCTACGCAGAGCTGGTGGGTTGCCTCATGTACCTGATGACTTGCACTCGCCCAGATCTCGCATACCCTCTCAGCATCCTGGCTCGCTTTGTGGCCATAGGCAGACACCGACCGCAGCACTGGTCTGCCGCTAAGAGGGTTCTGCGTTATCTTGCTAGTACATCGGGCATGGGGTTAGTGCTAGGAGGACGCAGGCCAACGATCCTTACTGGGCACACAGACGCTTCGTGGGCAGACGACGCTGAGACTCTCCGGTCTACCCAGGGCTACTGCTTCAGCCTTGGCTCAGGTGCCGTCTCGTGGAGAGCTACTCGCTCCTCGTCTGTTGCGCAGTCCAGCTGTGAGGCTGAGATCTACGCCGGTGCCATGGCGGCACAGGAGCTCCGCTGGCTGACCTTCTTGCTCACTGACTTAGGTGAGCGGCCTAGCTCTGCCCCGGTCCTGTTCGCTGACAACAGGGCCATGATCCTCCTGTGTCAGGAGCCTCGACTCGAGGGCAGAGCGAAGCACATTCAGCTGCGGTACTTCCTCCTGCGTGAGCTACAGCAGCGACGTCAGGCTCGCGTAGTACACTTGGCCTCAGGTGCCAACACGGCTGATATCTTTACGAAGGCACTTGCGCCTAAAGATCATCAGCGGCACTGTGTACAGCTTGGTCTAGTTCCTGTAGCCTCTCACTTGCTAGGACCTTGACTTTGTACTGTCCTTTATATGTATACTCAGACTGGACTTGTGTCCTCTCCCAGTGGCTGGACTAGTAGTACCGCCCTGCTCTTGTGCTTGCCTTGTCTGTAGTCCTTCTGACTGGTCGCTCAGACCCTTGTCTCAGAGGTTGGACTAGTAGTGCCGCCCTGAGCTGTTTGTTTAGGACTTTCCCCTATGCAGTCTAGGGGGTGTGTCAAACATGTCTATGTGTTATGTTTGTATAGACTGTATAGGGTAGCCTCTTAGAGGGTACAACACTTAGCTATATTGTGTGTACTCTCTCTGTATCACCAACACTTCAATTTCTGATAGGCTTGCCTCTACCAAGCCTAGGGGGTGTGTTAAATCATATTTGTTATATAATTGTAGGCTTGGTAGGTGTTACTGAACTCTACTATAGAGGGTACAACTCCCTCCTCGTATGCCTCTCTCTCTCTCTCTCTTCTATTCCAACCCTCTTTTTCTCTCGTCAACTTCCTCTCCTAGCTCCTAATCCTCTCGCCATTTCATGGCCGCCTTCCTTCCTAGCTAAGTTAGCCTTCTAACAGTACGCACTGTAGTCGAGCCCAGTAAGGAAAATGAAATTTCCTTACACCTACACTGTTTCCACGCTGCTGATGTACACCATACAAGCGTCTCAATTTTCATGATAACAACAGAGGCCTTGCATGAATCATAAATAGCAAATAGTACTAAAGCCAGTCGGAGACTCGGAGTGGAGAACATGATCTATTGCACAAATGGAATGCAATACTCAACCACTGGCATCCTCCGTGCCCTCCAAAACATCGACCAGCGCTTGGGCTTTCGCCTTCGCTCGTCCCGAGCAAGCCTCACTCTGTAACAAACCCATCAAAGCTGGCAAAACCCCTTCCTCAACCATCCTCCTCCCCAACTGCTCCCCATCCTCCCCATGCCCATCTCCCCCATCCCCCTCTCCTGAACCTCTCAGATGCCCGCCAGTGGCCAGCAGCAGCAGTGTCATAATTGCATCCTCCTGTGCTCTAGGCGAGCCCTTCGCCACAACATCGACCAACACCCCAATTGCATCACCAACACCACCACCGCTCCTCACCGCACTGCCACCATTTCCACCGTTTCCACCATTTGCACTACCACCACCCCCACTAGCAGCACTGCAGTTGTTACCACTGGTAGCGTCACCACCACTAGTCCACCCTCGTCCCTCCACTGCTACCAGCCGCGCCCGGCCCTCTTTCAACCGACAAATATTCGCCAGAACAGCCATTGCTTTCTCCTCGAGTCCCGACTCCTTATAAGCAAGCACCTCTAAAAGCACCTCCACCGCTCCTGCCTCAACCAACTCCAAGGCTCCTTGAGGGTCCCTCGAAACGTTAAATAACACAAGGGCAGAGTCTTTCCTCCCTCTGGTTGACCCCGTTTTAAGCACATCCAGTAGTAACGGCACCGCGCCGCTCTCCCTGACCTCAATAAGAAGTGACTCGCTAACAGACAGAGTGAACAGAGCCGCTGCTGCGCCTTCTTTCGAAGCTACAGTGCCGCTGCGAAGCAGATTTACTAGCAGCTGAACCCCGTTGCACACTGCTATCTCCCCAGCCACGCCTTTGACTAGAGACACTAGCAGCAGGCACGAGACCGCATGCTCCTGTGTCTTTAAGTCCGGGCCCGAGAGGAGATCAACTATGAGCGGCACTCCGCCGCACTCCACCGTGAGTTCTTTCGCTGGGGGTTGCTTCCGAAGGAGGGATCGGAGGGATGATAATGCATCTCTTAGCTGCCTGTCAGAGGAAGAGGAGGGTTTGGAGGAGGAAGAGGAGGAGGCAGAGGAGGAAGAAGCAGAGGAAGAGGAGGAGCGAAGAGTGGTCAGCAAGTCACGGATCTCCTCTAGAAGGTGATCCTCTACTGTATCTGTTGCATCAGAGGCCATAGCAGCATTCCCCACTGCAACCCCGTCTTCCTTCTCTGTGCTACGCCCTTCTGCTTGTGCCTGCCTGCCCTGCTGCTGCTGCTGCTGCTGCTGCTGCTGCTGCTGGGAGCGCTGGGGGGAGTCTGGGTGGTCCTTTCTCCTCATCCAGTCCAGGGAAGCACCCCCTAGAGGGCTCATGGGCCACCGATCCCTCCCCCCTCTGCCTCCGCCTCCCCCTCCTCCACTTGCATCCCCCACCCCTCCTCCCCCCCCTGCTCCTGCTCCTGCCCCTGCCCCTGCCCCTGCCCCACCGCCTCCCCCACCCCCTCCCCCAACCCCACCCCCACCCCCTCCCCCTCCCCCTCCCCCTCCCCCTCCCTTCATCGCATCCAGGAACCCTAGCATGTTCCCCGCACTCCCTGTTTTTCTCCCCAGCCCGCCCCCTCCCCCTTCCGCCCCTCCCCCCACCCCTCTCGAGCCCGGCCCCACTCCACTCCCTCCAGACCCTCCTCCTCTCACCCTCCCCTTCCTAACCCCTTCTCCAAACCCCCCTGCACCACCACCAGCACGGGGACTGCGAATATCAAGGAAAACAATCCCCCTGGGGCTTCTCACCTCCAGCGACCCACTGCTTCCGCTCGTCCCCCCTCCCCCTGCCCCTCCCCCTCCGCCTCCCCCCCCTCCTGGTACCCTGGGGCTGGGGAACTCTAGGCCGCCTCCGCTGCTGAATCCGCTGCTGCTGTCACTGCTGCTGCCAGGGCTTAAGGGCCCCAGGAATAGCCGGGAGGTGCGCTCTTGTGCGGACACCTCTGCAGCAATTGCTTTTTGAACCGAGGGCTCTAGCCCTGCTGCTGGCAGTGCAGAGCCTGCTGTAGCGCCGGCTGTAGCGCCGGCTGTGGCACCACGAGGGGGGTAGGTGCTGGCTAGGCCTATGAGCTCCACTGTAGAGCCACCGGTGCTGCTGGATTTGTGCACTACTGCTGGCTTGTTGGGAGACCCGTTAGTAGCAGATCCGTTAACAGCAGACCCGGTGGTAGAAGACCTGTTCGGTAGTGCACCCGGCTCAGTAGCCCTGTGGGTATCCCTAAACGCAGCCGCTGCGCCTCCTGGGCCGTCGATGTCGCTCTCGCTGAAATCCACACCGTCGGATCGCGATCTATGCCTCCCACCACCACCCCCAGCAGCAGCAGTAACAGTATTAATGCCACCAGCAGCAGCAGCAGCAGCAGCAGCCGCCCCACGAAGCCGCCCCTGCACCTGCTGCTGCACCTGCTGCCCCCCATGCACCACCTTACCCATCCCCGCTTTAAGCTGCTTCACCACCTCGTGAAACGACTGCCCTAACGGATCATCAGACGAAGCAGGAGCTACAGTGGACACTCTGCGTAGTCCGTCCCCTACTGTTGCTCCTGCTTTCCGGAGCCCTCCCCCTATGGCCTTTCCAAACCCTGCTGCCATGTTCATTGGAGCACCCATCCCTCCCATCCCGCCTCCCCCTCCTCTCGCTCCTCCTGCTCCCGCTCCCCCTCCCCCTCCCCCTCCCCCTCCCATCCTGATGCCGCTGGATATGGCTAGCCCTGATCCCTGCCCCTGCCCCTGCCCCTGCCCCTGCTGCCTGCTGTTGCTGCTGTCACCAATGCGCCCGGAGTTCCTCCCACTGCTGCTTGTATCGAAATCAAACTCGTCGTCCTCCTTATAAGCGCCCCGCTTCTGAAACTCAAACGATTTCGGCTTCCTTTGTTGTCTACCACCAATGCAGCTGCTGCCACGGCCCCCATCTTTAGCGCCCGTACCAATATCGAACTCGTCATCCTCGTTATGAGCCCCCCTCGATTCAAACTCAAACGATCGGTGCTTTCTCTGTGACACCTGCTGGGTATGCGCCCTAGAACTGCCAGGGTTGCTGCCCCCACCACTCCCCACCACCGCTCCCAACCGTCCTCCACCTCCTCGCATAACTCTTCCTAAATTGTCGCCCCCAGTTGACCCGACCTTCCCTTCCCCGTGGAAACTATCTAGGGCAGCCAAAAAATCATTCTGCCCGGTTCCCCCATCCCCCATGCCCCCTTTCCCGGGCCTCAGGTTTTGAGGCTGCAAGGAACCCCCCCGAAGCAGACCCTCTCTCCCCCGAACCCTGCCCAAGCCTCCGCCCAAACCCCCGCCTGGGCTTCCACCCCTATTCTCCGCCTCCGCTCCGCTTCGACCTACCCCCGCTCTTAACCCTCCGCCGAACCCCCCTCCGCCAATCCCCCCTCCGCTAAGACCGGGCCCCATAGATCCGATAGTAGCAAGTCCGGAGGGGGACGGTTGTCCCGCACGTGAGGGGGTAAGAGCTGTGCTTCTATTGAGCGGGCTTTTGGAAATCTCCTTAATCGGCGCGGAACCTGCGCGTCCGCTGCCGCCCGCTCCCCCAGCTTCCCCCCCCGCGGATAGCACATCCGCGCGCGCACTCCCCCCTCCCTCGCGCCCACTTGCCCTCCCGCTGCCTTGCTTCTCCAGTAAGACACTATCTAGGACATCGTGGAAGGCTGTGATTGGCTGGCGCGCGGATGACACGTCCCCGGGCTGTAGGGAGATGGTTCGGCGGAGCCCTTCCCCCAATCCCTCCCCAGCAGTTGCGCCGCCTAGGCCTCCGCCCAAGCCTCCCCCCGCCCCCCCCAACGCTGCCCTGGGGTTCCCCGCGCGGCCTCCGCGCATGGGGGAGAGCGCGTGCGCCATACCCTTCATGGCGGGTCGGGCAAGGCCGCCGCCGCCACTGCTAACTCCGCCGCTGCTGCCAACTCCACCACTTCCTCCCTGTTGCTGCTGCTGCTGTTGGCGAAGCTTCGCGAATGTCTGGTCATCGGAAGGGCTCCAAGATTCTGATCCAACGGTTCTCCTGCTTGCTCCCGAAGTCGCTCCTGATTGGTCGAAACTAAATCCCCCATGCCCCTGCCGAGGCTGCTGCAGTGGTGTGAGTCTTCGCCTGTCCTCGATATTGTCATCCCCGTCATCCGATAAGAACATGTCCAGTATCGCGGTCTTCGATTCCACAGAGTGCGTTCTGCGCAAGCCCACTCCGCCATCCTGGCTACGCGCACCCCCCCCTCCGCCAAGCCCCCCTCCTTGACGCACGCTCCCCCCGCCAAACCCCCCTTGACCCGCACTTGAGCCTAACTCCGTCCCCCCATGCCCCTTCCGCCAATTGGGCGCGCTATCCATCGGTACAATTGCGCCTATCCCTTCCCCCGCACTGGAAACGCGCAACACCCCGCCTCCCCCTTCCGCTCCGCCACCCCGCCCAAACGCGGCAAAATTCCCCGGCGGGGGGGTGCGGGAGCGGAGATCAAACGCCGGGTTTCTAGGCGAGGGGGGAATCCGCGCTCCGCCTCTGCCCGTCGGAGTTGCGCTTGCGCTCCCGCCCCCCCGCGGCCTGGGGGAGCGCACCAAAGGCCTCTCGCTGTTCCGCGCGCCCCTGGCGCTGCTGTTGCGCCCCTCGTCCTCGCTCATTCCGCCTTCCGACCAGAATCCGCTCCCCCTTCCACGCGCACTGCTGCTTCCGCCATCGCCTCCCCCTGAACTTGCGGTTATTCCGGCTGACGACGGCCCAAAATCGGCTCCTGGAACCAGAGTTGTGACTAAACCGGGAGTGACCCCGTTTCTGTCACACCAGGAAGATATCAAATCCCTTAAAGCCTGATTCGATAGAAGGTGGGTATGATCCAGTCGATCTCCGGTTTTCGGGCAGGTTAGGTGACCTTCGTCGAACCATCGCTGGATGGCTGCCCGTTCGTACGTCTGCCCAGATGCAACGATCGCTGGATCGGACATGAGTTGTAACGACAGCGGGCATACGAACTCCGGGGGTACTTCCAGGTGCGTGTCAACTGCCTCAGCCGCAGCAGCAGCTGCAGCCGCAGCCGCCGCAGCCGCACGTTTCAGTACGAAGGAGTCTGACGGAAGGAGGATTTTCATGCTCGGCCGGTTTGGTGGACGGCCGGCACGCCCGTCGCTCCCTTTCGTTAACGACATCGCTAACGGCGAATTCAATCACTTATCTCACGTGCTACTTCAATAGTAGACTGTCGGGTTTGAGAACTAGTGGCTGGAGTCTGGACATGTGGTAGCAATACCTAATTACAGTCTGTCGCACACATGCAGTAAGCCACGAGGACATATCTAAGGAAATCTCCGCGAGGGACAATGATTAGCTGCGGAACAGCCGCGGCGACACTCCGCCACCAGTGCAGGATGATGAACTGTAGGATGTGGGAATGAACAGATGGACAGCGGTATTAGGGACTGGTGTGATGTGGCGTGCGTGAGGAAATAGGGACATTCAACGCAACAAGCAGCAGCAATGACTGGCAGTGACTGATGAGTCTGGTCTGGTCTGGAGACATAGCGGGTACGGGGAATCGCAGTGGAGGTTCGGCTAGGGTGTGGTGGCTTGGGTGCTGCTCGCCTCGCTAGATCTGGGACCCAGTTCGCTTGGGCCTTGTTCCCTGGGACTGTAGTTCCTGCCCAGGGGCGGTATGAAGGGAGCGAGGGTGAAGAGTGGTGATGAGGTCCACACAGTGCTGTAGTGGAGGCTGGACAAGGGGAGGGAATTTCAGGGACGAGGAAGTCAGCGGAAGGGCAGGGAAGGGCAGCCCGAAGGTCAGAAACGGTTCTGTAGGTTACACTGGCACTTTTGGGAGCTCCGGCTCGGGTTCCTTCGGACCTTGGGAGCTCCGTATCGCCTGCTTTGGAGAGATTGGTTCGGAGACCTATCGGAACATCAAGATTCGAGAGATCCAGCCGAAGCTGGAAAATGCTTTGCTTCGGCAGGAAAGCCTGGAACTTCCAAAGCCACGAAGCAAGCCTTGGGGCTGGCGTGGCAGCTTGGTTCCAGTTTCGGCAGCCAGGAGGGATTTCGGCCCAGGCGACAAGGCTCGGCGACGATGAGGCAGCCTGGCTGCCACATGACCTTGGGCTCTGCTTCACAGGATAAGGACCATCCCAAAATCTCGTACGCGGTGGGAATTTATTCCGCAACAGGGATTCACATTTCGAGCTACTGTATGAGGGGATGTAAAAGAACGATGCCCACTATTCCCTTCAAGGAGCGTTGAATGAGTTCACTTTGTTAAAGCCAGGGACCCAAGTTTCCAGAACCTGGGGCAAGTGTTCTACACTTGGTTGGGAAAAAACAGGTTTTGTGTCGGGAGGGTGCGTGAATTGCAACACTCGCAGGCGATTTCACTGGTGCCTACAGCTCGCCGGCCAATCAGTAGTTCTAGTCCCAACCAACTGTGTTACAGTTGGTAAACTTGGGTCCCTGGCTTTAATATATATAATATTATTTGGGTTCCAATCCAGAGCTTCCCATTAGGCAGGAGAACAGACTCTTGTGACATTCCTTAGTATTGTGAGTCATCATCCAACGCATGACAAGTAGACGCCCACTGTATTCATCGTCCCTCTGTACAAGAGCAACTTAAAGCAAGCCCCCAACCGGCCCAACAATTTCAAATGCACCAGATGAGCATCAGTCATCTTCCTCCCATGAGTCCAAGCTCTCCACCTCACGCACTCTCCAAATGTCGTGATGCACATTGATCACATCCTGTCCTTCACCTCCCATGCTCGTACCACCAACCGTTGCCGCTTCTATGCATTCAGCTCTCGCCATCTCCTGCACACATCTTGACGAATCAGATTCCACATCGTCTTCAGACCTCCTTCCTGCACGTGTCGTGACAACATCGGTGCTATCACCTGCATTACCAGCAACACATTCACCACCACCCTCGAAAACCAAACAAGAAACGGAAGGGAAGGCAGCAAGCCTCCTCAAAAGGATACTGAAACACACATCCCTGGGGCGCTCTTCATTTGGGTCCCAGCATCAACACCACAAGCAAGCATAGCCATTTGACACCAACATCCCGTAGCACCCTCTTGAACCATGGATGCAGGAAACATTCTCCAATCCTCCCAATTCGCGCATTCCTAGCCCCGCCCCCCACCCCCCACCCCCCCCCCCACTTCAAAGGCTTCTGTCAAGAGTTTCCTCCAACCTCCATTCGTCCCCCTCACGCCACGCCTGCACAAGCCACTCCTTACCCCACCCTCTGCCCTCCCACCTCTCGTACCTCCACCCTCTTGCTACTCACGGGCGTGTGTTGAAGTGCCTTCATCAGCCTCATGCTGCTCCCGAAACCCCCCCTCCTCTTTGCACGTTCCCTCCTTGCCTTCCTTGCTCCCCTCCTTCTGCTCGTGTGAGCACCCTTCTTCCTCCTCCCCTGCCTCGTCTCCCGCACCCCGCATTGCCTTCCCATCGTCGCGCTTCCCATCGACGCCCTTCCCATCGTCGCCCTTCCCATCGTCGCCCTTCCCATCCGTGCTGTTGAAACCCACCACCTCCCCCACACGCCCCTCCTCCTCCACAGGTGCGTCCCCCCTCCGTTCCCTCAACACCTCTGCTTCATCTCTCACTTCCGCTGCTGCTGCCTCTTCCCCTCTCATCGTCCCACTCACCTCTACCCTACCCCCCGCCTCCTTAACCCTCAGCACCTCTGCTTCAGCCCTCGCCTCAATAACTGCTGCCTCAACCCCTTTCAGCGTCCCACTCAGCTCCCCCTTACCCTCCGCACGTGTAAGTCTCTCCCTCAGTACCTCCGGTCCACCCCTCGCCTCCTTACCTCCTGCCTCTACCACTTCCACCGCACCAGACTCCTCTCCCTTCTTCTCCGCCGCTTTCAGCCTCTCCCTCATCATCCCCGTTTCAGGTCTCGCATCCTTGGATGTTGCCACAACCTCTCTCACAACCGCAATCACCTCTCCCTTCCTCTCCGCCTCCTCAAGCCTCTCCCTTAGCACCACTGCTTCAGCCCTCGCGTCCTTAGCTGCTGCCTCGGCCTGTTTCATCACCCCAGCCACACTCCCCTTACTCCCCGCCTCCTTAAGCCTCTCCCTCAGCATTTCCGCGTCAGCCCTCGCGTCCTTGGCTGCTGCCTCGGCCTCTTTCATCATCCGCATGTACAGGCTCGCAATCATCCCCATCTCCCTCACCTTCTCCTCCAGCCCCCTCACCACCCCCTGCTGCGCCCTCATCCTCCTCCCCTCCTCCCCCCCCCACTCCTCCTCTCCTGTCCTCTCCTCCACTCCCTCTCCCCTCTTCTGCTCGTCCTCTGCCCTCATCCATTGCTCTCGGCTCAACGCTCCCGTTTCACTGGACCCTGCATTCCCCTCCCCTGCATTCCCCTCCACTGCTTTCCTCCTCTGCTCTGCCTGCACTAGAACCGCCTCTAGGGCTTCCTTCCATTCCTCAGCCCTCCTTTCGGCCTCGTCCAACCTCCTTTGCAACTCCACCTCGTTTCCTCGCTTAACTTCCCTCCCCCCCCTCTCCTCTGTCCCCACATCCCCACTGCCCTCCCCTGCCTCACTGGCTGATTGAGGAGGGGCCGAAGGGAAATGCTGTGAGGAAGACGCGTAGTGGGAGAACGGGGGGACATGAGGTGGTGGGGGGTGGGGGGGACGGGGAGGAGCGTGTGGAGACGGAGGGGGAGAGGGAGGGGCATGAGGATGCGGAGGGGGAGGGGGAGGGGGAGGGGGAGGGGGAGGGGGAGGGGCGTGAGGATGCGGAGGGGGGGGGGAGAGGCTTGCGGAGGAGGCGGAGGATGGGGGGCTGGGTAATGATCGAAAGGTGGAGGGGGGAAATAATGATGCTGGTATGGATGGTGGTGTGGGAAGGGGTCATGCGAGGGATGGGGGTGGTGAGGGGGAGGAGAAAGGGGATGAGGAGGAGGAGGGTGGTGGTGAGGGGGAGGAAGATGATTGGGATGAGGATGATGGGGAGAGTGATGAGCGGGAGGATAGTGAGGAGGAGGAGGATGGTGGGGGGGAGGAGGAGGATGGGGAGGAGGATGATGATGGGGATGAGAATTGGGGGGTGGGTGATGACCAGGGTGATAGTGGTCATGAGGATATGGCGGAGGAGGAGACGGATGAGGACGAGGAGGAGGGGGAGGATGCGAGGGAAGAGGAGGAGGGAAATCCCCTCCTCCACACTCCAAAAGCGAGGGGTTCAGTGCGCTCGCCGAATAGAGAGAGGCCAACGGGGGAGGCGGAAGGGGGGGAGAAGGAGAAGCAGCCGGCACAGGCAGGTGCGATGAAACCGCCCCAGCAGCTGCTCCAGCAGGGGCTCTTGCCACACCAGCAGCTGCTCCAGCAGCAGGGGCTCCAACAGCTACACGGGCAGCTGCTCCAGCAGCAGGAAAGCCTACAGCCACACGGGCAGATGCTCCAGAATCAGGGGCGCCTAAAGCCGCACCAGCAGCTGTTTCCACGGATAGACCCTCTTCTGCAGTCCGGTCGGCCTGTGGCAGGAAGAGCAGCAGCGACTCTGACAAGTCCAGCAGCGCAGACTCAAGGTTGCCTGCCGTTTCCGCTGCCTCACTAGCGACCAGAGCCTCCCAACTATCCTCTCCACCAAAGCTGGTAACATGTGCTGTAACATGGCTCGGGTTGCTAGGAACATGCGTAGTAACTTGGCTGGTAACCTGGCTTGGACTGCAACTCGCTTGGCCGTTGCTCCTCGCTGCAGAAGCCCCAGTCGCAACCCCAACGGTCTTCTGCTCACTGCAACCCTTCCCTTGCTGCGGCTGCTGCTGCCGCTGCTGTTGTGCCTGCTGTGCCTGCTGCTGTGTCTGATGTGGCTGTTGTGGCTGCTGTGGCTGCTGTGGCGGCAGCGGCTGCTGTGGCTGCTGATATGGCTGCTGTTGTGGCGGCACCAGTTGGGCTGTCTGGCGCATGCTCCTCTCAACAGCAAAGCGGTAGGTGCGAGACAGATTCGCCACAACACGGGACACACGAGCCCCTGAGGAAGACCCCTCCGCTCCTACTCCCCACAGCTCCAGCCCCCCTCCACTGGCCTCCATCACCAAAAAAGGCGCATTTGGCTCTATAATGGCAGACTCGATAGTAGCGGATACGAGATTTGCCGGCTGGGAAGTAGAAGGTTTAGCAGGTGCGTCCAAACCTGCGGATGACGGCTGGTTGGAGGTGAAAGGCACTGGGGTTGGGATTGGGAGGTTACTGGGCCGCTCCTGCTGTAGCTTCTCCTCTTGCTGTTTTTGCAGCTGGCGTTGCTGCTCTAGTTGTTGCTGTTGCTGCTGATGTTCCGCCTGTGCTGCTGGCGTTGACTGGCGCTCCAGCTGATTCCCTTCCTCCTGTTCCTCTGATGCTCCTGGAAGGCCGGCAGAATGCACGACGCCAAGGCTGGGTCTACCGCTGGCACTAACAGCAACACCAGCACTGAAAGGATCAGGTCGTGTCGCGGCTGCCAAACCACCAGTGCTCACTGGCACATCGCTTGTCCGATCAGATTTTCTCTTGAACGCCATTTGAGAAACAGCTGCTGCTGGCTCAACACCAGGTTGAGACGAGATTTCGGAGGTTGGTGAGCGAGATCGAATCGAATCTGACTGTATAGCAGTGCAGCTGACTCTTGCAGGCTGAGAATCTCCATCCGACTTAGGTAGCGCCGACCCTGGTGGAATAGACTGTGGATCTTGAGTAGATCGTGGATCTGGGGTGGATAGTGGATCTGGGGTGGATAGTGGATCTGGGGTGGATAGTGGATCTGCGGTGGGTTGTGATTCCGGAACCAATTCGGATGAAGTTGTGCTAGAAGGAGTTGGATCTGATGATAAGCGACGGCCGAGACCAGATACGTCCTCTGCTGCACACGAGATGAGGGAAACGGGTGAAAGAACGAACGTAGAAACGGAAGAGGGAGGGACAGAGGATGGACGGAAAGTGATTTTTGAGTCGACTCAAAAATCACCCACGAGATGAGGGAAACGGGTGAAAGAACGAACGTAGAAACGGAAGAGGGAGGGACAGAGGATGGACGGAAAGACGGACGGAGGGGTGGACGGAAGGAAAGAGCAATTAGAGGTACAAATATCCGCGAACGATAAGAGAGAGAGAGAGAGATTTAAAGCTGTAGCAGAGGTGTATTTTGAGTCGACTCAAAATACACCTAGACGGAAGGAGGGGTGGATGGAAGGAAAGAGCAAGTAGAGGTTCAAATTTGCGCGAACGATAAGAGAGAGAGAGAGAGAGAGAGAGAGAGAGAGAGAGAGAGAGAGAGAGAGAGAGAGAGAGAGAGAGAGAGAGAGAGAGAGAGAGAGAGAGAGAGAGATTTAAAGCTGTAGCAGAGGTGTAGAGAGCCTGGTGAACAGGCCAGATCCAATGGATGCTACCGGCAGAGAATCCTGTTCAAATGAATTGATTGGAAGGTAGACGACGAAGGTCAAGAAAGAGAACTTGCCTTCAGAGCTGGACCGAAGCCCGAAAGATGGCATGACTGCTACAGAGAATCGGCGAAGCAAGCAACGACAGCCTGTGACATGCTAGCCTGAGCCTGAACCTAATCACACGGCTATTCTCCCTGCATGTCTGAACACGTATCCAGATGCCAGCATATTCTGCAGGTAGTATCCGATGAAGGCGGCGCAGCTTGAGAGTGGAAATATGGAGGAGAAACAAGGCTAAGAGAATTTCAGAATCCCGTGGCAATTGCCGGACCCAACGACAGAAGAGCGAGACAAGCCTGAACGAAAGACCAGCAAAATTGCTCGTTGCTGTGGCTTCGGATTCGCGAAGCCTTCGCGAACCCGGCTGTGGGTCAAGATCGCAGCGAAAGTTTTCCAGGGTTACCTTGTTTCCATCCAGCGGGTCTCGTTTGTGCGGGTCATTGGCGAAGGCTGTTGGTTTGGCTGACCGTGAATCCCAGCTCTGCCCAGTTCTTGGCGTGTCGGTCACGCTAGATCTGACACCTCACCGGAATTTTACGGTGGAGGATCTCGGCGAAACCGTTCAGCTGCAGGACGCTTCGAAACTGTTCAGCTGCACGACGCTTTTGCGAGGATCCACATAATGGTAACTCCGAATCGTCAGACGGTTGTGCGAGAATTTCTGACGTGTCACCTCCACTTTCCAAACCGAATCCGAACCAAACCTTGGGAATGCCGTCCATCTGTCAGTTTCTGTGCTCTGTGCTTCGGCAGATTCACAGACCTAGCAGGCCCACCGTCAGCAGACTCATGGATTTTGTTATCTTGTCAGCAGACTTACGGATTCCGCATAACTTCTGTCACCTAAACTTAGCAAAGCAGACCGTTCTGTGACTGCCTAGCTTAGCATCTTGCGGATTCGCCGATTCGCGGGTTATTTTAAATAGCCGACGGTAATGGTGCCTCGGAGCGATTTTGATGGGTTCTACGCGAATGCAGACCCTGTAGAAGAAAGAGGTCGTCGCGTAGCAGGAGATAATCCTGCTTCTAGGGCGGATGAACAAGCGTCTCGTTTTAGGCAAAATGAAGCACAATCCGTAGCTCCAGCTACAAATGCACCAGGAGGTAATCCGCTCTACGTAGGATCCGCTGAAGCCGTTCCCATCCACTGGCAACACGAACCGTACTCTCATCCCGAATCCGATTCCGTTCTAGCCAATCAGAATTCGTCACCTATCCCAGCCGATACCACTTATTTTTCAGCCGTTGAGCCCCCATCGATCTCGCCTGACGTCATCATGGCCTCAGGACCAGAACGCCGGTTCGCGGCTCCTGCAGTGACGCCACTAGGAGATGGTACTGGAATTTTAGCTAGCATTAAGAATCTAGATGGCAGTGAGGACGCGGTTGACGATCACGCCATAGCAGCCGCTCTCCAAGAGGAATATCTTAAAACGGGAACAGAGCGAAACGCTCACCAGATTCTTGTACCCGAGTCCTCGTCAAACGATCCTGCCATAGCAGCAGCTTTGCAGGAGGAGTACCATAAAACAGATTCCCCCCTCGAGCGCGATCCGACAGAGCATGTCTCAGACGACCACGCCATAGCAGCAGCCCTACAGGAAGAGTATTCTAAAATGAAGACTGAGGGAAACAGTAGCGGGGAGTCTCTATCTCAGTCGTCTTACCAACCAGAAGGTCCAGCAGAGCCTGTCTCAGACGACCACGCCATAGCAGCCGCCCTACAGGAAGAGTATTCTAAAACGAAGACTGAGGGAAACAGTAGCGGGGAGTCTCTATCGCAGTCGTCTTACCAACCAGAAGGTCCAGCAGAGCCTGTCTCAGACGACCACGCCATAGCAGCCGCCCTACAGGAAGAGTTCCTCAAGGAAGCCGAATCAGAAGCGGACTCAGGCAGCAGAGGCTGGGGAGCCTCTGGCTCGGGATCAGCAGTGTCAGGCTCAGGATCGTGGATTGGAGGCGCGGAGGATTGGCTCCGGGGAATATTTCCGACCCTGGCTGGGCCGGGAAAAGATCCGGGGAGGTTGTCAGGTGTGGATGCACCGAGGCAAGGGAGGGTTGCTAGTAAGGGCGTGTTGCCTGCACGGAGGAATTCGCCTGGCGGAAGGGGTTCCCCAGCCACAAGACGTTCCCCAGCTAGGGGAATTTCCCCCATGAAATGGCTGTCTCCAGTGGGTCGGAGGACACCAGAGGGGAGGAATGTAGCTGGGGAACAGGAGGCAGCGCCGCTTGACGCGTTGCCAGTGGCACCTGCAGGTGCTGCTGCGACAGCAGGGGCAGCACCAGCAACAGCAGCAGCAGCAGAAGCAGCAGCAGCAGCTGGACAAACAAATATTGACTTCTCTCCAATTGAACCTGCTGTATCCAGCCGTAGCAATCAACTAAGGCCATTGGAAGGTCCTGTTGAGTGTCTATTGAGCCCATGTGTAGGCCCTCCTGGGAGTCAGTCAAGCCCGTGGATTGGCCCTGGCGCTGCTCCTGAACCCAGTCCGCTCACCAGGTCGCTGTCAGACCCCTCTTTAGTCACACTCGCCTACCATCACATCCAGGGGGATAGTACTGCCTCTCCTCGTCGTGACAATGAGGAGGAGAGTCCGACTGTGTCGCCACAGGACGCCCCATGGGTGAACCCTTCGTTACAGTCAACCCCTATACGGTCACCCCGTCTTGTAGGATCGTCTCCTTTCTCTCCTGGTGGCGAGTACCCTGCGCATGGCCCCCCAGGTGCTCCTGTTTCGGGACCTTCTGTTGCAGACGGTGTTACATGGGTTGATGACCCACCAGGGGCTCCTGCTGCTGTACCAGGTTACCCTTCCCCTCCTCCCGCGCTGGCTGCGCCCCTTTCCTCCCCCGTTCTTGATTTCTCTTCATCCCCACCTGTGCCGAACCGAAGGCTGGTGCTGCAGATGGCAGAGAGGGAGAGGGAGAGGGAAAGGGAAAGAGAAAGGGGAATGGAGATGGCAGAGAGGGAGAGGGAGATGGAGATGGGAAGGGTGAGGGAGCAGGGCCATCCGGAGCAGTATGGGAGGGCGGGTCGGGAGGAGCAAGGGTGGGGAGAGCAGCAGGGGCGGGCTTGGATGGATGGCAGGGCAGCAGATGCTGCAGCAAACAAGGCAGCTTGTACTGCAGCAGATGCTGTAGGAGACAGGGCAACAGGTACTGATGCAGCATCAGATGCCCTATCTTCTGCAGCAGCAGCAGGGGATGGTGGCCTGCCTGCCCATTTGGGAGCTGCTGCGCAGAAATCCGGCGTTTTCGATGAAGACGATTATGTGGATTCTCCAGGGGAGGAGGTTGATGGGGACCTGGCTCTGGCTATGGAGCTGGCTTCGGAGGAACTGAGTAAGCAAGTCGCTTCTTAGGGCCCAGGGCTTTTCATCTCTCACAACACCCATACCTGCCCTTCCCTGCCTCCTTTCCGCAACTCTCCCTGGCTCTGCCTATGGAGCTGACGTCAGAAGAACTGTGTAACCAAAACGCCTTATAGGGCCTAGAGCTTTTCACACCCGTACCTTTCCTTTCGATGCCTCCGTTCTCCAACCCTCACTGGCTCTGGCTGTGGAGCCGGCTTCAGAAGGACGGAGTAAGCAAGTCCCTGTCTGTCCCTCGGTTTAAGTGCCTAAAAAAATACGCTTAAAAAATACAGAGAAAGGAAGACGCCTTCCAGGGCCATTTTGTTCATCAGATATACAGTACCCTCTCTGCCCGTCTATGCCTCCTCCCTGCAATTCTCACTCGCTCCTTCACCCCTCACCTGGACGCACGTTTTTTGCCTTGTTTTTGCTTTTTCCCTGTGGTTCCACCTCCCGTTTTGCCTAAGGGAGGTCGAACAGACTCTTTCGCCCCCCAGCTGAACTCTCCTTTCTTCTCCCTTCTGTGAATGTACTCCCCCACCTGCCCATATGTGTGTGTCATGTTTTGCTGTGATGCGCGGTGCTGTGTGGTACTGCGTGAGGTGCTGTGCGGTACTGTGTGTGGTGCTGTGTGCTGCGCGGTGCTGTGAGCAGACAATGCTGGTTTGACCAGCAATGAGCCCCCAAGCGGAGGACGGTCGATTAAGAGGCTTTTTACTCGATCCAACTCCGTGCTTGTACGTGCACTCGTCTTTTCTCGCGCTCAATTCAGCCCGTTCCTTTGAGTCAACTGAAAAATAAACCTCGTTTCAACATCATGCTTGTTGTACGTGCAAGTTGGTTTTTGAGAATTCTCAAAAACCAAAAAGTAGCCTCTTTTCAACCTCATGCTTGTTGTACGTGCACCACCCATCTTAGCTCGTGCTCGGCGCTTCTCTTTCTCTCTTCTACTATTCCTCCTTCATTCTTTGTCAACTTTTTTTTCAACGCCCGGGCATTAAAATCCTTACAACCCCTTCCTTTCTGCTTGGGCCACAGCATGTGCTTGGGCACTGGTGTGAGGTGCATGCATGTATGCATGTTAAATCTCCTTCTTCTTTCCTTTTTCCACGTATGAAAACCCCTTCCACCCCCTTCCAACCCCTTCCACCCCCTTCCACCCCCTTCCACCCCCTCCCCTTCCACCCCCTTCCACCCCCTTCCAACCCTTTCCACCCCTTTCCACACCCCTTGCAGCACAGCATGCGTGTGAACAGTGGCAGACTGCCATCGTTGAGAGAGAGTCTATCAAGCCACCAGACGCTCACAGAGAGGTGAGAAGGTCGTTCATTGAGGGAAGGCAGAGCAGCGCATGCACGAATGGTAAGGCTGCTGATGGGTCCTTTGATAGCCATCATTGAGAGAGGGTCTATCTGTTGGAAGTGGTTCGCCAACCACTAGGGCGGCCTAGGGGTGGCGAGCATAATCGTGGGAGGAATTTCCGACGGTGGGAATTCGGAAGAAGTGACGGTGCGACGGTGGTGCACTAAGGAAAACGGTGGAAATAGGATGACGGGAAATGATGAGAAAGAAGGGGAAGATGTGGGAAGGAAGGTGTGAAGAAAGTGTGCATGTGGAGTTACGGGAGGAGTTGGGGAACAAAATGAGATTTCGGACGGTGCGTGTTCAGTAAGCACCAAACTTGGGGTCGGTGTCGATGTTGAAACACGCAGACCGCGTTTCAACGTGATTGTGTGCGCGACCCGAAACGAAACGAGGCGCGCTCGTTACTCGAAGCGCCCTCGGTGGTTACGAGTCGCGAATTGACATTCTGGTTGACTATAAAAATGCTTGTCTGTTTGTTCTTAAAAAATATATACAGTTGAATTCTGAAACTTGCAAAAGTACGTAATCACGACTTCTAGCAAACCCGAGGATATCGTTGGAATCGTGTCGACAAGGAGATTATCATAGAGCCTAGTGCCTCGATATAATCCTAGTGCAAGGAGTCCTTGCAAGGCGAAATCCCGTCGGCGGAGGCGGAGTAGGTGAACATACTGATGTCCGACTCCCATTCCCGCAGAAGTCCCTGGATGATATAGCTAATCATCTCCTTCTCCGACTCCGCCGCTCCCATCGCTTTCAAATTGTCGTTGTAGCTCTTGACCCTGTTCACGTACTCGATGATGCGCTCATCCTTCCCCATGCTCAGCAGCAGCAGCTGCTTCCTTACTGCTGCTTTGTCCGCATCTGTCACTCCCATGTATGTGGACTCCATGTACTCCCAAGCCAGCTGCGCCGAGTTCAGCTCCCCTGCGAAGTCGTCCAGCCCCAAAGCAATGTTGTCTGCCACTGAATGGCACAGTTCGAAGAAGGCATGCTTACTCCGCTTCTTGTACACTGTGATTTTCTCCTGCTCCTCCGTCGCAGTCGGAGGAACGCCTTCACTTGTCGTCTTGTCAGGGTGGTAGAGCGACCACAGCCCGACTTCTTCAGCCCGTCGGATGAATTTGAGTCGCCACGTTGTGTAATTCTTCCCACTGAAGGGTTGGGCTTCGCTAAGCCCAATCGTCGGCTTTGCCACCAAATGCCCCTTTGCAAGGGCCTCGAGAAGAGCCTGCACTTGCGAGTCGTCCATGTTCGTCGAGAAACCCGACTGCACCCCGCTACTCGTCGGCATAACAACTCCTTCGCTTGCACACACTTGATGCACTTAGCACACTAAATGCACACGTCTGTCGCGTAGCAATATCGTCAGGAGTTCGACACTTGCTCTGATACCAGTTCTAAGTCGACTATAGCTTCCGCGCGAAACTACAGCTCCCAGGCAACGAAATGTCCAACGTGCTCACAGCAAGCCAACCTTGCTCGTGCCTGATGCCGACGTTTTACCGCTAGCTTGTAGCAAGGACTCCTCACCTACGACTACAAAACGCTGTCGCACTGAGCGCTCGGACTCCGATGCGCCAACTCGCCGATCGCCTCCGCCGACGGGATCCTTGCAAGGATTCCTTGCACTAGGATTATATAGAGGCACTAGGCTCTATGATAATCTCCTCGTCGACACGATTCCAACGATATCCTCGGGTTTGCTAGAAGTCGTGATTACGTACTTTTGCAAGTTTCATAATTCAACGGTATATATTTTTTAAGAACAAACAGACAAGCACTTTTATAGTCAACCAGAATGCCAATTCGCGGCTCGTAACCACCGAGGGCACTTCGAGTAACGAGCGCGCCTCGTTTCGTTTCGGGTCGCGCACACAATCACGTTGAAACGCGGTATGCGTGTTTCAACATCGACACCGACCCCAAGTTAAGGCAGCGTCTCTCAATTGAGGGCTATCAAAGGACCCATCACAGAGAGGTGAGAGGGCTGCTGATAGAGGGAAGGCAGTGCGGAGCGTACAGAAAAGGTAAGGTTGCTGGTGCGGCCTTTGACCGCCGTCGTTGCGAGCGAGCTTCTCAAGCCACCAGACGCTCACAGAGAGGTGAGGGGCGATAGGTACAGGTAGAAGTTACTTTTGAGTCGACTCAAAAGACACCAGATGCTCACAGAGTGGTGAGGGGCCATAGGTACAGGTAGAAATGACTTTTGAGTCGACTCAAAAGACATCAGACGCTCACAGAGAGGTGAGGGGCGATAGGTACAGGTAGAAATTACTTTTTGAGTCGACTCAAAAGACACCAGACGCTCACAGAGAGGTGAGGGGTGATAGGTACAGGTAGAAATGAAGGGTTGCAGAAAAGGTTGGAGTGGAGGAGATTGGCTTGCTGGAAATGGCGTTAGCGGGAAATGAAGTTTCTGATGGTACAGCTCTAAAAAAGGGGGCCTTCACTTGGCGTTTCTCACACCTAAAGGCCTGGGCGCATGTCACAAGCCTGGCTGACTTTACTGTCATGGCATACCGTACCTTTCACTCAGCCAAGGCAATTCGATATGAGCAGGCTTCATATCCATTCTCCATGTCTCTCTCTACCTTTGTTTGTTATCTGTTTTTGTATGGCTTTCCCCGTGTGTTATATGTTATCTGTTAAATCTGTTTTCTGTTATCTCCACCACCAGGCTCGCAGTCTATGGGCTGAGGGAGCTGCCTATGGTGGGAGATGGAAACTGCCAGGTAATTGCTTCTCCCATTCCTTCTTCTCAACCACCTCGTACTCCCTCTCTTCGGCATTCACGTTGCACCCTCCTCACCCGCCCTAAATTGGTGCTCAACCCTCCTCACCCGCCCTAAATTGGTGCTCAACCCTCCTCACCCGCCCTAAATTGGTGCTCAACCCTCCTCACCCGCCCTAAATTGGTGCTCAACCCTCCTCACCCGCCCTAAATTGGTGCTCAACCCTCCTCACCCGCCCTAAATTGGTGCTCAACCCTCCTCACCCGCCCTAAATTGGTGCTCAACCCTCCTCACCCGCCCTAAATTGGTGCTCAACCCTCCTCACCCGCCCTAAATTGGTGCTCAACCCTCCTCACCCGCCCTAAATTTGTGCTCAACCCTCCTCACCCACCCTAAATTGGTGCTCAACCCTCCTCACCCGCCCTAAATTGGTGCTCAACCCTCCTCACCCGCCCTAAATTGGTGCTCAACCCTCCTCACCCGCCTTAAATTGGTGCTCAATTCAACCCTCCTCACCCGCCTTAAATTGGTGCTCAATTCAACCCTCCTCACCCGCCTTAAATTGGTGCTGTACCACCCCTGGCACCATCCCTGCTGGCCTTCCTCCCGTCCGTCTTCTCTCCTTCACCGCCTCCCTCGCTTCCAGTTCCGTGCCCTTGCCCTTGCCGACCAGTTGTCCCACAATGCCAAAAGCCCCCCTCCTCCCCTCAAAAGCCCCTCCCCTCCCCTCTCTCTCCCCTCCTCCCCTCAAAAGCCCCTCCCCTCCCCTCTCTCTCCCCTCCTCCCCTCTCCTCCCCATCCACTCCACCCGCTCCCCCCTGCCTGTCCAGTTCCGTGCCCTTGCCGACCAGTTGTCCCCAAAATGCCAAACCGCCATGCAGTCGGACACTTTTGAGCCGAGTCAAAAGCTCCCCTCCCTCCCCTCCCCTCTCTCTCCCCTCTCCCCTCCCCTCCCCGTCCACTCCACCCGCTCCCCCCTGCCTGTCCAGTTCCGTGCCCTTGCCGACCAGTTGTTTCGCAACGCCAATCGCCATGCGGCCGTGCGGCAAGCGGTGGTGCAGCAGGTGAGTGTGCAGGTGTGGGGGGTGGTGGTTGAACGAGTGTGAGAACAAGGTGCAACTCCAATTGCCACGCTGCCGTGCGGCAAGTGGTGGTGCAGCAGGTGAGTGTGCGAGTGTGTGGGGGGGGAGGGGGGAGGGGGGAAGGGGGGAAGGGGGAGGGTGGGGGGGAGGGGTTGAACGAGTGTGAGGACAAGGTGCAACGCCAATTGCCACGCGGCCGTGCGGCAAGCGGTGGTGCAGCAGGTGAGTGTGCGAGTGTGTGGGGGGTGAGGGGGAAGGAAGGGGGGGGGGGAACGGGGGGGAACGAGCGTGAGAACAAGGTGCAACGCCAATTGCCACACGGTTGTGCAGCAAGCGTTGGTGCAGCAGGAAAGGGGGGAGTGGACGAACGAATGTGGTTTGCTGTGCCTGTCCAGATACGGGTGCTCTCTGAGTGGTATTCTTGCTTTCTTCTTCCTTCCGTGCGACCTGCTCCTTGCTGCTTGCCACGTACTCGCTATTGATGCATGCTTGCTGTGTGGTGGTGTCTTCATTCTCGCTGTGCTGTACTGTGTTGTGCTGCTTGAATGCTCTCTGCCTGTGCAGATGCGGGCCCACGCAGAGCGCTACTCGCCCTATGTGCCGGATAGCTTCCCCCGCTACCTCAGACACATGGCCAGGTGAGGTCAATACGGTTCACAGCACGCCCAGAGCGCACAGAGCCGTTCAGAGCAACTCACTCTCACTACTCGCACTACTCGCACTACTCGCACTACTCGCGCTACTCGCGCTACTCGCGCTACTCGCACTACTCGCACTACTCGCACTACTCGCACTAATCGCACTACTCGCGCTACTCGCACTACTCGCACTACTCGCACTAATCGCGCTACTCGCACTAATCACGCTACTCGCACTACTCGCGCTACTTGCACTACTCGCGCTACTCGCGCTACTCGCACTTCTCCCGCTACTCGCACTTCTCCCGCTACTTGCACTAATCGCACTACTCGCACTGCTCGCACTACTCGCTCTACTCGCACTACTCCCGCTACTCGCACTAATCGCACTACTCGTGCTACTCGCACTACTCGCACTACTCACGCTACTCGCACTAATCGCACTACTCGCGCTACTCGCACTACTCGCACTACTCACGCTACTCGCACTACTCACTCTACTTGCACTAATCGCACTACTCGCGCTACTTGCACTACTCGCACTACTCGTGCTACTCGCACTCCTCGCCCTATGTGCCGGATAGCTTCCCCCGCTACCTCAGACACATGGCCAGGTAGCATAAGTAGCTGAATTTGGGAGGAAGCTTAGTCGGCAGCTGGTTGATATCGTCTTGTTTTTATGGGTGGTTATAACTGCTCTCGCTTTAGCTGCCGAACAAGATCATGGGTGATTATGGGTGTTTATGGGTGTTTATGGGTGGTTATGGGCGGTTATGGGTGGTTATGGGTGGTTATAACAAGATCATACAATCCCTGCGTTTCTCTGGTGGAGCATGGCAAGATTTTGGCGTGAACCTGCTTTTGTACTGCCCATCACGTTGCCTTTACGTGACTGTAATGTTCCCAGCATTGCCTCGCCGTTCCTTTGTCTCAATGCTCCTAGGAATGGCGAGTGGGGCGATCACATCACTCTGCAGGCTGCTGCAGACAAGGTGAGGGGCAGCAGGGTGAGTGCAGACAAGGTGAGGGGGTGACTGGTGAGTGTGTTTCTCTCTCATTTGCGAAGCCTCTTTCCTCTCCTCCCATTCTCCATGCCTCACTTGTTCTCCTCATCACGTCATTCCTCTCCTCTCGTTCTCACTGCCTGGCAGTACAGAGCAAAGGTCAATTCGAGCGACTCTCTCATGCTGCTATGCACCTCGCTCCCCCTCTCATTCCTCTCCTCTCGTTCTCACTCCCTACCAGTACGGGGCAAAAGTCAACCTTATCACGTCCTATCCGGGGGACAAGTTCCTCATTGAGATCTTTCCTTGCGATGGCAAACCCACCAAAGGTGTGTTCTTCTCGTGTCAAGCCAGTCAAGGTGAACCTTGTGTGGGGAGCCTGTGGAAACGGCAAAGGTCAACCTCGTCACGTCCTATCCAGGCGACCAGTTCTCATTGAGATCTGTCCTTGCGATGGCAAACCCACCAAAGGTGAGTGCTTTTATCAAGCCAAGCAAAGATGGGTTCTTGTGTCAACCCAGCAAAGGTAAGCCTCAGGTGGTGGGAGTGTGGAAACTGCAAGGTGGTCAACATCATCACGTCTTGGAAAAAACGAAGACAGGTGGGTCCCGGTTGCAAGACAAACAAAGCTGAGTTTTGGGTGCGGTGCCAGTGGTGTTCGCAAAGGTCAACCACACCACGTCCTATCCAGTGAGGTCTCAGGGGATGAGTTCCTCATTGACATCTTTCCATGCGACATGACTTTTGAGTTGACTCAAAATTGCGGCACCAGTGGTAACTGCAACGGTCAACCTCGTCACGTCCTATCCGGGAGACAAGTTCCTGATTGAGATATTTTCCCTTGCGAGGTGCACCCCAGCAAAGGTTATTCCTGAGTAGGGAGCTTGCCGTAACTGCAAAGGTCAACCTCGTCACGTCCTATCCAGGAGACAAATTCCTCATTGAGATCTTCCCTTATGAGGTGCACCCCAGCAAAGGTGCGCTCTAGAGTCAAGCCAAGCAACGGTGTACACTCTAGGGCCAATTCCAGCAAAGTTGGGCTCTAGAGTCAGTTCAAGCAAAGGCGAGTGCTTGTATCAACAGCGCAACGGTGAATCAAGCGGATGCTGTGGATGGAAGCTTCAAGGGCAACCTCGTCACGTCCTATGCTGTAGGTGATGTTTGTGTAATAAGTCGATTTTTTAGTCGACTCAAAAATCGACTTATTACACACGGACTATGCTGTAGGTGATTTTTTAGAAATTTCAAAAATCAACTGTGCAACGGCGAATCAAGCGGATGCTGTGGATGGACGTTTCGAGGTCAACATCGTCACGTCCTATGCTATGCGGGAGACAAGATTCTCATTGAGATCTTGCCATGTGGCACACAACCAAGCAAAGGGTGAGCACCTGTGAGATCTTCTCATTGAGATCGTGCCATGTGGCACACAACCAAGCAAAGGTGCGGTCTTTGTTGTGCTGATCCAAGCAAGGGTGAGCACTTGTATTAACCCGGCAAGGGTGAATCATTGGGAGCCTGTAGATGATCGCGGGAAACTGCGAAGGTCAGCCTCATCTCATCCTGGCCGACACGTTCCTTTGTCCTGTGCTTGTAGTGCCTGCCATTTCTCCTGTTACTGTTTCAGCATCTCTCACAGCTGCTCCTGCTTTTGCCCTTCGCAACACTGCTCGCTCGCACCTCTCCCTTATCACACTTCTTTATTTGACATGCAAATAACCTGGTTTGCATTTTCTTTGGTCCCTGATGTGCATTTGCCCGCCTCGCTTGTTGCCCGAGTTTCAGAATTGTGGCTTAGCTTCTGGGCCGAAGTGCACTATAACTCAGTCTACAGTGCTGAAAGTAAGTGAAGCTTGCTCCGGAATAAGTTCTCTTTCTACTAAACCGTCACCTCTCATTCCGAAATGCTAGCTAGCACTTCCTTGCAATAGGTATTCACTTCGTTGACTGGCATGTGGTGTTTTTGGACGTTGCAGGTCTTCCTCCAGTGCCACCCAAGAAGAGGCACTGGTTGTTTTCTTGAGTTGCATTACTATGTACATTTACGTTTCGGGTGTAGTCATTGTGAGAGAATTGTTTTCTACACCAGAGAACTGCAATTAAAACCACAGGCTAAAATAGCAAAGGGGGGCTTCAAGAGCGCCGTTCTTGAAGATGGCTCTTTTGAAAAAAAACGGGTTCCCAGCACTATTTTGCGAGGTGCGTTTTTGGGCAGCTGAACAATGATAGAAACGTAGTGGCGCCGATTTGACGCGTGTGCGACGAGGCGGGAAACGCGTGCGCGACTCATTTGACTTTTTGCCAACTTGGTGAAACGAAAAAAAAACTACTGTACCTCGGAAGTATTCGGCGTACGTATTAAGGCTTCACATTACGAAGCTCCCTCGACCGTGACTCGCAACTAGGGTGGAGGTGAACTGTGTGTCAGAAACCCGGCCACTAACCACTGGGTTAAAAGGGCTTGTTAAATAGCGGGTAAGTGCGCCCATAGCCCCCCAGGCTCTGCACCTGTGGCCCTTCCCCGAGGATCTCAAGGGCAACCCCAGCGGGTCACTCAACACCCCCCCCCCCCCCCGATGGGATACGTGGAAGACACGAGCGCCTCTGCAGCGCTGGCACTGGGAGTTGAACCCAAGACCTTTGGCTCTGATACCATGTCAGAAACCCAGCCACTAACCACTGGGTTAAAAGGGCTTGTTAAATAGCGGGTAAGTGCGCCCATAGCCCCCCAGGCTCTGCACCTGTGGCCCTTCCCCGAGGATCTCAAGGGCAACCCCAGCGGGTCACTCAACACTGTGCAACTTGTGTGCCGAACAGCCACATGGGTTGTACGAAATGCGACCCAGGTAAACCTCGGGTTAAAAACCTATTGCACACCCATGGAGCTCTTGTAAAAACTGAGCCGTGTGAGCGGTCAGTCGCAACTTGATCCGCCGAGCAACTGGCGCCAAATCAATCGCCGCGCACCAATAACGTAGCAAAGGTACTTCGCATTACAAACAATTTCGGGTCCCATACCATTTCAGAAATAGAAAACGCACCTAAGGGTCTGCCCCAAAACGAAGCATTTTTTCAAGAGCTCCGCTGGTGTGCTATTCTAGCCTGTGGTTTTAAGGAAAGGAAGGAATTCATGTGACATGTTGGCTAACAAAACACTACCAGGGGGGAATGGAAGGAGAGGTAAATCACGGAGCAACAGTTGCCTTGGGCAAAACATCGCGTTCAGCAGGATTCGAACCTGCGCGGGCAGAGCCCAACAGATTTCGAGTCTGTCCCGTTAACCACTCCGGCATGAACGCTTGTTTCAACGGTGAAAAATAAAGTACTTAAAATGTACTAACATTTACCAATTCTAGATTCTTCCTGACGTTTCCAGCTCCGGCACCTTCTAGATTCTTCTCGACGCTTCGCGTCCGTTCGTTTCGTAGCCCGCTTGAATTTGTCCGCCGCACCATGGCTACTCCGCAGGAGTCATTCATTTCAAGCTCAAACAGGACCACTCTGTGCTCATTTCTTCGGCTTCTCGTCACCTCGCCTTCGGAACTCTGTCGGCTTACTGCTGCGGCGCTCTCTCCTTGCCTCGTCACCGACGGTTCGTCGTGCATTTGACTAGATTCCGGTATCTTCCCGGCGTCATGCAGAATCTGGGCCCGGGCAGCAACCTGGAAGGCATTCTCAAGTGGAGCCTGACGCACTCCGATGGCACGGGGCCCGCGAGGCAAATCACGTGAGTGCAAATCACGTGAGTTCATCCCAAAAATGTTTGGTCCATATACTATGTTCAAACATGTTAGCAACATTGCAAATACAATGTCGCATAACATGCTCATACATAGTCCGGGGCCTCTGAATGTTTGGGATGTTGTTCAAGTTCAAGACACTTGAAACCATTTTCAGTCGAGTCAGGTGGAGCCTGGCCCACTCCGATGGCACGGGGCCCGCGAGGCAGATCACGTGAGCGCCGAGGAGCGGCAGTGGTTCAACCAGGCCATGCCGCAGTCGGCAGTGGTGGACGTGGTCCAAGGAATGAGGGAGATCAGCGTGCTCAAGGGGGTCACGCTGTTTTCCCTCCGCTTTCTCTCCTTGCCTTTTTTCCTCCACCCTCCAGTGACGAGGAGCGGCAGTGGTTCCCCCAGGCCATGCCAGGGTCGGCGGTGGCTTTTGAGACCCGCGGTCCCTCAAAAGTCCCCCAGGCCATGCCGCAGTCGGCGGTGGTGGACGTGGTTCAGAGAATGAGGGAGAGCAGCGTGCTCATGGGAGTCACGCTGTTTTCCCTCCGCTTTCCACGTGTTTCTTTCTCCATCGCCTCCTCCCCTTCTTGCGTCTCCCCCTTTCACCTGACCAGGCAAGAAGAGCGGCAGTGGTTCACCCAGCCCAGGCGATGCAATCAGCTGTGGTGGATGTGGTCCAGTGGACGAAGGAGATGAGCATGCTCATGGGCTCCTGGGGGTCACTGAGGAGGGGCTGCTGGCTCCCCTTCTTGCTGTCCTTACCTCCCTCATGGTTCAGCGGATGAAGGAGATGAGCATGCTCATGGGCTCATGGGGGTCACGGAGGAAGGGCTGCTGGCTCAGGGCTCACGGCGTTGCCCTCTCTTCCCATTTCTGTGTCTCCTTCCCTCTCATCCCCACCGAACAGAGAGGAGGAGCGGCAGTGGTTCAACCAGGCCGTGCAGTCGGCGGTCGTGGACGTGGTGCAGCGGATGAAGGAGATCGGCATGCTCATGGGGGTCACGGAGGAGGGGCTGCTGGCGCAGGGCGTGACGGTTGAGGAGATGGCCGGGATGCTGGAGGAACTACAGGAGCACGTGGAGTCCATCGACATGGCCAATGGTGCGTGTATGTGTAGACAGGCAGGTCAACGGTAAGTGTGACAGAGGAGGGGCTGCTGGCTCAGGCGTGGGGCTCAGGGCGTGGTGGTGGAGGAGATGACCTGGATGCTGCAGGAGCACGTAGAATCCATCGACATGGCCAATGGTGAGTGGTGACAGTCACAGTGACCAAGCGTGTGGCGCAGGGCGTGACTGTGGAGGAGATGGCCGGGATGCTGGAGGAACTGCAGGAGCACGTGGAGTCGATTGACATGGCCAACGGTGAGTGTTTTTTGTTTGTTTTGTTTTTTGGTTTTTTTTTCACTTCTCCTTCCATCATTTGCTTGTTCGGTCTTGAGGCTCCCGAGGATTCTGTCTTTCAAAAAAAAAAAATAAAAAAAAAAAATATATATATATATACATATATATATATATGCCTTTTTTTTAATTTAACCCTTAGACCCTGCTCCCCTCCCCGTTTCAACCTGCCAGATCTTAAAGCCATAGGCGGGCCGGAGCCTCTGCTCCGCTTCCTGCGCTCCTCCCACGCGGTGTTACGAGCGCGGGCGGCAGAGGTGGTAACCACGATGGTTTTCCCCCTACTCCCCCTCCCCTCCCCCCTCAATCTTTCCGTCCAGATCTTAAAGCCATAGGCGGGTTGGAGCCCCTGCTCCGCTTCCTGCGCTCCCCCCACGCGGTGTTACGGGCGCGGGCGGCAGAGGTGGTAACCACGATGGTGCAGAACAACGAGAGGGGCCAGCGGAGCGTGATGGAGGCGGGCGGCCATCTGACGCTCATGAACATGGTTATGCACGATGCTGACGTCACTGCCAAGGCCAAAGCCGTGGGGGCGATCTCGTGTGAGTAGAGGGGTGGGGGAAGTGGTAGGTTGTGGCATGGGCAGGCAGCCAGCCTTACCACGATGGTGCAGGGGAATCGGAGGAGCCAGAGGAGCAATGGTAAGCTGGGCCTAGCCTCGGACAGGTAAGCCTCTCGAGTCACGACAATGGTGCAGAACAACGAGAGGGGCCAGTGGAGCGTGATGGAGGCAGGCGGCCATCTGACGCTCATGGATTTGGTCATTCACGATGCTGACGTCACTGCCAAGGCCAAAGCCGTGGGAGCATTGTCATGTGAGTTTCTGCAGGCTGGGCCTAGCAATGTCATGTCAGGTGAGTAGCAAGGTAGTCTATTTTTAAGGCGCCTCATGCATTGTCATGTGACTTTCTGCAAGCTGGGCCTAGCAATGTCATGTCACGTGAGTAGCAAGGTGGTTTATGGGCTCGTAAGCATTGAAATGGCTTTTGAGAATTCTCAAAAACCACTTCATGTCATATGAGGTTCTGCAGGCTGGGCCTAGTAATGTTATGTGAGTAGCAAGGCTGGGCCTAGCAATGTTATGTGAGTAGCAAGGTGGTTTATGGGCTCATAAGCTGGGGACGTGGAGAGGTGAGATGGGGCATGGGCAGGCTACCAGCCTAACCACGGTGGTGCACGGGTGACTAGCCTAACCACAGTGGTGCAGAACAACGAGACGGGCCAGCGGAGTGTGATGGAGGCAGGGGGGCATCTGACGCTCATGGATATGGTCATGCACGATGCTGACGTCACTGCCAACGCCAAAGCCATGTGGGCGATTTCGTGTGAGTAATGCAACGGGGCATCTGAGAGTGGACGGATTTCTAGTAGACTCAAAGGTGGTTCTTTAATCGACTCAAAAAGGCAATTTTTTAGTCGACTTATAAGGCTTAGTCGACTAAAAGATCACGTGATGAGAGGGGGCATCTGAGAGTGGACGGGCTGACATGGTATCAAGTGAGCAGTGGGGTGGATGGATCATGCTTTTGAGTCAACTCAAAGCGACTTCAACTTAAAAGCGATTTCATGTGAGTAATGGGATGGGGCATCTGAGAGTGGATGCGCAGAGGTGGTAAGTAACAGGTGAGCAGTGGGGTGCGGTGGATGGATCATGGACAGGTAGCCAGGTAACCAGCCTAACCACTGTGGTGCACAGCCTGAGAGGTGGTAACCACAACGGACAGAGGTGGTAACTACAATGCACAGAGGTGGTAACCACAACAGGCAGAGGTGGTAACCACAACGGACAGAGGTGGTAACCACGGCGGACAGAGGTGGTAACCACACAGGTGCAAGAGTACGTGAGGAGCCAGCGGACTGTGATGGGGCGAGAGTCCATCTGACAGACGCTCGTGGATATGATGACGCACTATGCTGACGTCACTGCAAGACCAAAGCAGTTGGGGCGATTTCATGTGACTAATGGGGTGGGCTATATGGGGTGAGAAGCTCAAAGCTGGTTTTGAGGCGCCTAAAAAATACGATTTCATGTGAGTAATGGGGTGGGCTATATGGGGTGAGAAGCTCCAATCTGGGCCAGAAATAGTAAGGTGGGAGCTTGAAACCTGCCTGCCTTCTAATCTCTCCCCCTCACTCTCTCCTCCGGCCTTGGAACTGCCTGTTGCTTAGAAGTGACTCTTGAGTCGACTCAAAAGTCACCTGGCTTTGGACTGCCTGTAGTTCTAAGTTCTAACCTCTTCCCTGCTTCCCATCTTCCCTCCCGCCTCACTCCTTTCCTCTCTCCCCTCCCTCCTCCCCTCGCCTTCCCCCACTGTCAGCCTTGATTCGCCACAACCCCGAGGGCCTGTCGACTCAAATATCATCCCCCCCCCTCCCCCCAACCCCTCTCTCCCTTCTCCCCCCTCCCCCCAACCCCTCTCTCCCCTCTCCCCCCTCCCCCAACCCCTCTCCCCCCTCCCCCAACCCCTCTCCCCCCTCCCTCCTCCCCTTCCCCCACCGCCAGCCTTGGTTCGCCACAACCCCGAGGGCCTCGCGTCCCTCCGCGCCGTCATCGGCATCAAGGGACTCACCTCCTTAATCTTCACCACCGCCTCAAAATTCTCCTTAAACTCCGAATCAGACGCCAGCACAAGGCTCCTCCTTAAAGCCCTCCACCTGACACTCTACTGCCTGCAGCAGTGCCCCTTGGACCGCCCCCTCGCCCTCTCCTCGGGCCTCCTGACCTCCCTGCTGCAACCTGCAGTGGTGGGGTCTAGGGATGGGGACACCAGGCTCGCTGTGCTGAGACTGCTGCAGGATCTGGCTCCTGCTATGGCTACTACTGCCGCTGCCACTGCCGCTGCCACTGCCGCCACTCAAGCCAGTGATGCTGGGGGTGCGGCCAGCGAAGGTAGCCCTGTAGCAGTGGCAGGGGGCCCCAGCAGCCAAGGCGTAGGGAGCGAAGCCGCAGGGAGCAGCAAGGAGGATCAAGTGTTGGAAGCTGAAGCGGTGATTCAAGCTCGGATTGATGAAATAACCGCTCTTCAGAAACGCCCAAGTTCAGGTGAATCCTCAGGTGCTTCAGGTGGTGAAGCAGGTGTTGATGCAGGTGGTGTAGCAGAGCCAGATTCTGGGGATCTGCAGGAGGAGCTGGATGCCTTGCTGGCGACACGGCGCGCTCTGATTGGCCGAAGGATCGCTGCTGCTAGGGGAGAGAGTGGAGGGGGGGAGGCTTTGGGAGTAGATGGAGCAGAAGGAGCAGCAGGGGGGGCAGCAGCAGGCGCGGGAGAGGCGGGAGGAGTGGGAGGAGGGACTTCTCAACAGCCGTTGATGTTTCTGGGAGCACCGTGAGAGAGGTGGGAGAGTGGAGGGGGGATGCTGGGGGAGCAGAGGGAGCAGACGGAGCAGCAGGGGGGGCAGCAGCAGGAGATGCGATGATGAATGCACAACAGCCGTTGATGTTTCTGGGAGCACCGTGACAGGGGTGAGAGGTAAGAGAGCAGAGGGGGGATTCTGGGGTAAAGGGGCGGATTCTGGGGAAGGGGGGGATTCTGGGGGAGTTGAATCAGCCGGAGGGCAGGAGGAGCAGCAGGAGATTCTTCTGTTTTTGAGTTGATTCTGGGGGAGTTGAATTATCCGGAGGGCAGGAGGAGCAGGAGATTCTTCTGCACATCCCCAGCAGCCGTTGGTATTTCTGGGGTCACGATTCACCCCACCGTGTGCACCATGTGCAGCAACCCACAATAGTTAGACTTTGGAGTGTCCACCCCATTGTCTGATGCCACAACCATACATGCGTATAATTAAATGCTGGCTGGAGTATTTCCCTGGTGTTTCTTTGTGCCAGACAGTGATCTGTTGTTGGTCCTGGACAAAGAAAGACAGTACAATGTTGACCAGTGTTGACTTGATTAGTATGGCCTGCCTGGTGTCTCGCCATGAGTGCAAGATGTGGAATGTAGCACCAAGTTACGTCCCTGAAAATGATCTCCACCCTCTTCTCCACTAGTTCTCAATCATCTCTGCATCCTTGTGTCGTCGGCTATGGTATCATCTTTGATTCTTTGTGGAACCTAGGTCCTGCTGAATTGTTTGTTGCAAAGTTGGAGCCCTTTACTCGGCACTTGTAAACCTTGTAAATTGAGACACACAGGCAGCAAATGACCTGAGAGCGAGAGGGCAATTTACCCTGCCGAACCATTTGATGGCACAGTGATGACTTTCAGGGTTTACCACCCTTTTCAATGCCAGGAGGAAATGGCCTCCATAAAGCTACTCAAAGAAATATACCGGTCACCCCTCTGTTCGGGGACCCGTTTTATGTTACAATAAAAAAACTGTAGCCATTTATTCGCTGTTGCTTGGCAAGTCCGCCACATTCAGCGCACGCGCTCCTGCTGCCATGGCTTCCTTCAGCTGCGGCCAATCGGCTGCAAGGAAGCTCAGCAGCGACCCAGAACCTTCCTCCATACCTTCAATTGGGTGCTGCTGCTGCTGGTGCTGCTGCAACAACTGCAACTGCTGCAGCTGAAACTGGGTTGACAGGAGAGTGTCCAAATCTGAGCCCACACCCAGGTCCATTGAATCAGAAGCAGCAGCAGCAGCAGCAGCAGCAGCAGCAGCAGCATCCGCAGATGCAGGAAAGGAACTGGATGGTGCATTGCACTCAGCACGGATTTCTCCTGCCAGCATCTGAGCCAGGGCCTCAAGCGAAGGGTGCAGCATTGCCGGGTCTATCTCACCTACCTCCTCCCCCCCCGGACCGCTTAACTCCCCCGAGGCAGCAGCAGGAGCAGTAGCAGTTGCACCGGCATCCCTGTGGGGAATGCACATTCCAGCTACAGCCGTAGTACCTCCAGAAGAACGGTTGCCCATTGCAGCGGTTGTAGCACCTGCATCACCTGTAGCAGCAAATCCAGGGTTTGGCAGAGGAGCCACCGGCTGTAGTAGGTGTAGGGGCATCTGAGCCGCAAGATTGTCGAGCACCGAGAGATCGATGGTCAGATTCCGCTGGCCCAGCAGAGACGGGGCTGCAGCCGTTCGCTTGGCTCCCACCATCCGATCTCCCACCGTTGGATCAACGGGCATTGGGAGCGAGCTGTTGGGAAGGATTGATTCCCCTGAGAAATAACGCTTGTGGGGGGAGGTGGAGGACTGCCGCATGTGTGCACTCACTGCTACTCCTGCCAATCCTCCTGCTCCTGCTGCTGCTCCTGCTGCTGCTGCTGCTGCTGCTTCAGTTGATGCTGCTTGCTGGTGGGGCATGGAGAGGAGGCTCTCCCGTATGCTCTCTTTTAGGGTTTCGCGGAGGAGAGGGGAGGAGGAGGGGCCGGAAGGGGACTGGAGATGGGGCGGGAACGAGCCGAGCATGCTGCTGCTGGTGCCAAGACCAGTGCTGTTGAGCCCAGCGAAAGAAGGAGCGTTTCTTGCAGCAGCAGTGGCAGAGGCGGAAGCAGAAGCGCTTGCAAGGGCGGCCGCAGAGTCTCCTGAGAGGAAACGCGGCATGAGGGGGGAGGCGGAGTGAGGTGAGGGGAAGGGCGGAGTGTTGAATCCCGCAGCAGCAGCAGCGGCGGCAGCCATGGCAGCAGCATGAGAGGAGGGGGAGTCTCCGCCCATGGAGCTGCGCACACTGGAGGGGAAGCGCATCACGCCATGGGGGGAGGGGGAACCACTGCCCCCGCCCATACCACCACCGCTACCACCACCACCTACATAACTCATGTTCCCCGCCATACCTCCGCCGAGGTTGGAGAACGTGCCCCCAGAAAGGAAATTCTCGCTGCTCCCCCCAAAAGCGCCTCCTCCGAAAGCGCCTCCCCCAAGTGCGCCTCCGCCGCTCGCTGTGCGCCCAAGCAGGGAGTTTCCAAGAAGCGACCCTCCGAAGTTGGCAGGGTTGCCGCCACCATAACCGCCCATTCCGGCACCGATTCCCCTTAACCCTGTTCCGCCGGACGTTTCGCCAAGGCCCGCGCTTGCTAGGTTTCCCCCGCCAAAGCGCAACCGTTTCGACGCCTGAAAGTACTCTAGGTCATACTCCTCCGAGCCCGGCGCTCCGCCTGCCATTCCTCCGCCGAATGCCGCCCCGCATGCCCCCATGGCGGAAGGAACGAGCGGAGTGGGTTGGTCGCGAAACGATGGCCGGAGAGCGGGTGAGTCGAGGCTCCCGCTCCGCGGAAACGCGAGGCGCGCGGCGGAAACGGCAGAGGCGGAAGGAAGGGTCTGGTGAAGCGGGTAACCCGGGGCGCCGCCGGACGGAGGAGAAGCGCACGCGGAACCGGCTCCGCCGCCTCCGCTGGACGCAGTGGCAAGGCGGCGGAGGACTTCCGCCAGCATGCGCACGTTTTCCGCCTTAGCGGAACTTGCAGAACAGCCGTCCAGGCTACTGCGCCGCGAGTGCGCCGCGCTTCCGCAGCCCGCGCTGCCCGACGAAAGCGGCGAGGGGCTGTCCGGCATCGTCGCACGATGCGGGAAAAAACCCGCACCGCCGCAGCCGCCGCCGCCGTACATCGGAGCGTAGAGAGAGGCCCCCGCGTAGTAGGGGGAAGGGGAACGGCGACCGTCGCTTCCAGCGGAGCTGATTGGAGCGTCGCGCGGAGAGTCGATCAGGCGCGCAGTCTGGCGGAAGGGGGCGAACGCGAATGGCGGGAAAATCGCGGGTGAGAAGAAGAAATGCGGGATGCGCGAATGCATATTCATGATGAATGCGTAACGAAAAAGGTGCGCGAATACAAATTCGAGTGCAGGTTTGAAATTTGATCAAAGTGTGCCTGGAGCGAAAACAAATGGGTGACGGTCACCAGGTCGGACCGATAAAGCAAGCCCTCGCAACAATGATTGCTTCATCATCAAACTCGCCAACCAATCAGCTTAGGCCAGTCCCAACCAAGTGTAAATTACCAAACAATATGAGACTCAGCCGGATACCTAGCCATTATGGAAGCTCACCCTATTGTTGATGATTTCCGCAAGAATGGCGGGGTATTTCCGCTTGAGCGTGGAGTTCCAGTGGTTCTTGATCGCGTTGTCCGTGCGACCGCGCAGGCTCTTGGCGATGACGGACCACTTGTTGCCGTGCTCCGCGTGTCCCAAGACGATGATTCGGTCCTCTTCGTCCGTGAACGGATTTTTATTGACCTGAAGCGTGAGAAAACAAGCGGAGAACATGGCGGGTCATGCAATGCGAGCGACGCGAAAATTTCCAGGCTGCGGGAGCAAGAATCTGGACCACGCGGAAGGAACGAAGACCGCGCGGTGCGATTCGACGCTAATGTTGTGCGGTTCGACGAAAAATCATGGGAAAAACGAAGAGACGCCGCGTCGGTTGTACTTCGGGAGTTGCGATACGCACCTCGGGATTGAGCTGATTACACCACCGAAGTCGACAACTTTTTCCGGACCGCCCTTTAAGCCCTTGCGCGATTAACGACCAATTGCGCGGTCCGTACTTGGCGATCAACTCGATGAGCAGCTCGTCCTCCTCGGGGCTCCATGGCCCTTTTACGACGTCTGAGTCTTTCTCGCCACTCTCTTCCTTGTGCTCTTCTTGTCGTTGCTGCTGCTGACGCTGTTGTTGATCGACTTCGGCCATTGCCGCAATTCCTGCGATACCGAATAATATATATGACGACGCCTGATGGTAAGACTCGCGGCGCGCCACTCCGATGGGATATCAGGTTGTCGATGATCACGACTCAGTCTTTAATCGTCTCAATCACAGTCACGCTAGAGTCTATCGTGCTTATCAGTTTTCCTGTCTCGGATTTCCTTTTAAAAATTAGGCTGTGCCTACAATCTCCGCGTGATCGTCGGAAAATCGGACTGACGGTCTGGCCCGCTATCCACTGTATGCGAAACGCGAGGTGGGACTGATGGGAGTATGCTCCCTGCTGGCTACACCTTTCAAAGCTCGAGGTGAGTTTGCTGTCAACTCAACCCCGCGGCCCGCTGTCACTGAGTGGAACTTCTTCTGTTCCTCCCTCCCTACAGTGTGTGCTCCTCTCGCCAATGGCTCAAATTGTAGCTTTGTGCTCCCGTCACTAGAGCCTTGTCCCTGTGCTCACTATCTTTGTTCCCTCGCGCAAAATCGCGATCGCTCACTAGTGTTGGTGTCGTCGCAAACTTGCGATGCAGCTGCTGCCGAGTGAACAATGGCAATCTAGTGCCAATGGCGGCGTATTTTATGCTCTTCACTGACAACCCATCACATTCACCCCTTCACTCATCAACTCTCCGCCCAACCTAGTCTCCAGGCTTGGGAGGCCGAACCTGTCATGCCTGACGCGTTGAACACCTGCGTTGGCATCGCTGGCTGGCAGCAAGCAAGGCTGGGGAACGCTGGCTGGTCTACAGCTTGGAGTGATCTGGCTGGCCAGCTTGCGATTGAGGGACGAAGAGTTGGTGGATCAGGAGTGATGGTGGGGAGGGTTGCTCTGTGCGGTGGTGGTGCATTCCGGCGTGTTCCAGCCTGCAAGCTGGCTTTGGTGCACGCGTGCGATACATTGTGCCCTGGCGAAACTTCAACGACGCTTGCGATTGTGCGCGAAAGAGATATTTGCGCACTACACGTTGTGTCCACAAAATGTCCAGCTCTAGTCAGTCCCAATCGGCCTCTCCCTGATGTACATTCCCATCCAAAAACATTCAGCACGACTTGCAAACAATGTGTTCCAGTGTCGGGTTTCAGGTGTAGTGAAGCTGCTGACGAAGCTGTGCCCCATGACGTGGCCCTCACAATAGACTCTTCGCAACTTCGCACCTGCTGCGCTTCCAGCACATATAATTCACTTCTGGATGTACCCAAAACGTTTCATAACCGAGGGTACTTCATTCCCAGATTACACACACTCGACAATTTGGTGGGAGGTTGTTTGCCAGGTTGGATCATGCTCGGATTCACCAAAACAGACCAGAACAAGTTGTACCGGACCAAAGGAGAACTCCTATCGCCTGAATAGAAAAGACTAGACGAAGAAAGAGACGATAACACTGTGATTGTACCCAACTTTGACTCGGGAATACCAAGTGCTGATGATGCATGGCTGGCTGGAACATGAGTCCAGCCAGGGTGTGTGTGCGAAACGTACTTGGCGGGAAGCGATTTTTGACAGCTGGAGACGCGGTGGGGGCAGCCGAAGCTAATCGTAGATCCCCTAACCAAGCGCAACGATCGCTATCGCAGCAACAACCCACACGAGTTCAAAAGGACACGAACAGCCAATGACCACCGAAGATTTAATGCGGAGAAATGCGTTTGGGCGAATATATGAACCATATAGCCTCCTCGAGACTAGAGATCGATATACCCCGCAGTCATCCCACACCACCACCATCAAGGCCTCATACAACTACTTTTTTCTGCTGAAATAAAGTTTTAGTTGGGAAAACAACCTTGCCGAAGCTCATAGCACAAGTCAGGGATCCAATAAGAATCCCCTTTCCAGACTGAGTCCGCAAATTACGAATACAGAGTGGTGGGAGAACATCCATGATGTTGTGGCACTCACCAACCCAGATCTCTGGGAACTATCCAGCCAACCCCGAAAACTTTGGTCGAGCTTTCGACAAGGTCGGAAACAAATTCCACTATTGTACCCGAGAGGACCGGACAAATTGATGCATTGGGTGGATGGGGTTATCATCGCTACTCGAGTAATCAGGCCGTATAGGCAAATGAGTGACAGCTAGCAACAGCTGTCCAGGTCTGTCTTTGCGCTGGTGATCATCAGCTGCATTGGCAAGGTGGCGTGAAGGTCTGAGCCTTGCAGCCAGACCGACTCCTCGTGATCATGAAGCTTGTCCTTCTAGAAGTTGGGCTGGGTGCAAACACGACGCATAATAAATGAACAAGCATAGTTTTAGCTCTACCTGCATTTGAACCGTACACCTCGTTATGTCCGAGAAACCCGAACTTCTGCCAATGGATTCAACAGGCTTCCAGCCTAAAACACCATCCTGCTCCTCCCACAACAAATTAAGGTGCGTCGTGAGACTTCACTTAAGTGTGGTTTCGTAGGATGTTGCTGGTTATAGTTAGATTAGCTTACATTTAACTACGGTTTCGTAAGTTGACGAGGGGTTCTCTCTTACGAGTTCACCCTCGTAACCCTCCGTGAAATCAGCGTCATGGAATTGTAACGATCACAACGTGTCGATTCAAGCTAATCGCAATAGTTTTGAGTCGGTTGGTAGTCATATCCAGTCTGTGAAGGGTGACTAGAAATATTTGACAGAGTGTGGTGATTTATGTGTTCACGTGACGCGCAATTCAAGTTTGGACGTTTCTGGGCGCGCATGACAAACTCGTGCCATGTGTGAGAATCTTCAGGAAGGTCGTGTTGTGTGAGCATCTTCAGGAAGGCATGTTGTGTGACGCGTGCTTGCATGTTTTTGGTTCTACAGTGCTGGACGATTCACATGCGTTCACGTGCAACTTTAAAATTTCACTGGTCGACAGCTGGCTGCACTCCACAAAGTGTGACGTAGGACGAACCTCAGATCGAGTGCTGCAAACACTCGATCGAATGGCTGGATATGCTTCCGCAATCTTGCAAAGAGGGCGGCATCCAGTCCAACGAGGCAATCTGAACCCCACATGCAATTTCGCATGCCTACCAACCATCAACTCGATGGAAAAAACAGCCTGAGCTCCGACTTGACTGCAAAGTCAAAGGTGACCTAGCCCGCGTAGTTTCACCGCTTGAAAGAAGTCGCAAATAGAGTTTTGTCGCCACCCTCAACATTTCGGGAACCGCAGGTAGCATTCACGTCTTCACACTGGCTTTAGCCAATGTCTCGCAGTCTCCGACTTAGAATTCAGACTGCCAAAGGGGGTGGAAACCACGCTGTTCACTTTGTGCGACTAGAAATCCAGACCCGTTTTGTTTCGAGACCAGCCTCTGAGGACAGGCTTTTCTAGGGTGAATGCCCTTCCAGGAGGCTAGAAAAGCAAGGACGAGAATACCGCGCACCAGGTGTATACGAGGGCAACTGGTGCGCGGTAGCTAGAAATGCCAAATTGAAAAGAATGGCACAAGGGTGTTGCTATCAAGTAACGATAATGTAGCGGAAGTATAGAAAGTAGGCTTAAATATGCCTTCAAAGTGTGTTAAAATTACATTTGAAATATGGGTTTTAAATACTGTCAAATAGCTATATTGGGCTCTATGGTGATGTTGTTGAGCGCAAGATAGTCGGTACACATCCAATTTCCTCCGATATTTTTGGTGTTGAAGGTAATAAGGGCGGCGTAAGGTGACGTGGATGGGCGGATGAATTTCTTCTCCATCGTATAATAGAGTTGCGCTTGCAGTCCTTGTAAGTTCGGCTCGCTCAGACTCCATTGCGATAGGACGGTCGGGTGTGCGACAGACTCCAACTTGATGGTATGATCGTATGGTCGTTTGGAGGACACGCCGGTTGATAGGTCATGGGGAAATATATTCTCGTACCTGCGCATGATCTTCTTCTCGCCCTCGGGCACTGCAGCACGCAGCTTCTCGAGGTCAGTCTGCTCTGTCACAGCCGTAGAGGCGATCTATCGGACAACGTATGCGTCCACGCCCTTCACCATCACACGCTTTATGGTCACTTGATTAACAAGTAATGATTGAGGGTCGGGTGGTTTCCACTTCGTCAGTCGTCGCCACTCACCATCCCATTTCAGGCGAATGTCACAATTTCTCAAATCAATGCTCAGGATTTATGTGCGAATCCAGTCGCACCCCATGAGCACATCAAAGCCGTCCAGTATCGTCGCCAGCATCTGCATGATGAAGTTGACTTGGTTGTCGTAATCAATCCTTCTTACGTGTTCCACCCTGCTCCCGTATTGCACGTCGTGTGCTGTCAACCAGCCGTGCGTATTTTTCGGACATGCACTGCTCCATTTGCAGTCAATTTTTTTTCGCATTGGTCACACCCAATAGGTGTGATGCACCTCCATGAATGAATATCTTGAATCAAGTGTTGCCAATGTGCCATTCCACTAGAAAAGGGCAGTCGACATGGTAACTCCCCTTTAGCTAGGTGTGATCGATCGCATAAATGGGCACTACCACTCGGTGAGAATGATAATCTTCGGCCGGCGAACTTGTGTCAGTAGGTGGCCCAATTGCTATTGACCTTGCCCAATTATAACCCTGTTAGATGGCTTCCTTCGGTCTTTAGCTCCCAATTTCTGCAACTCATGACAGTCCCGCCTGAGGTGGCCCAACCGATTGCAATAATAACACCGACCCTAGGTTTTCTGACATGACGGTGCTGCTACGCCATTGATACATGGGTAGGTCTTCAGCCCTCGAAAATAATTTCCCTCGCGGAAATCCACCATCGGAAACATGCAGTTCTCTTCCCACGCATTTATGACCTCTGCATCTCTGGTTTCGGCCTTAGGATGTACCAACTCATTTTTTCCATCTCGTATAGGTTGTTGATCTCGTCAGAAATGACGAGGAGTGAGGTATTATATTATAGGACATATCTCATATGACGCAATCCGTCAAGCTTCACATGCGCATTCTCGCTTGCGGATACATGCTCGAATCGCTTGCGAAGCAATGCATCCATCATTGACTGGTTATGCTCTCGGCCACACCAAGCAGGGACACGATTTAAACGGTAGATATTCGTTGCTCCCTGTCCATCACCTATTGCCGGTCTGTCGAAGTCCCTTGCGACGTCATGTATTCACGCCACCAACTTAATGTAAGGCCTCGTAGTAAAGACACTGCCAATTTGACGCGGCGTTGTCGTTTAAAGCGCGTGGCCCAAGAAAGACCAAGAATCAAAGACTCTCAGTCTTGATCCTTTGCCAAGCCTACCAAAATATACAGGGATACCATCAAAACTCTGCGACGGGGTGGAATCCTCCTACGACATGAAGGGATTGGCTAGGCTCTTTCCCACACCAGAGCGTGCGACGACGAGCGAGTCCCCTACTCCACAAACTTACTCACTAGGCAAAACCAAGATCCATATTGTCTGGTGACTTGGGACTACCGTCCATGGCGCCAGCAGGGCGCGTGGAAGCTTTCCACCAGCGTAGCCAATAATGACTAGAGTCGAGCTAGTTTAGGGATCTAGCAGTGGAACCGCTGATTGGCCCCCGAAAATTGGCAGCACCGTATAAGATAGGCATTGGGA